ATTTACCAGAAGCGATTTGTATTCGTCTAAGAAACGAATCACTAGCTTTCCGCAGCATGTTTACGTTTATTCTTCCAAACGCATCGCGAATACGATTCATCATATTATCTTTTGTCGTTGGTGGTTCTTCCAATACTAAACTCTTTACGTACCCCACAAAAAAATCCTATTTTGTTAAATCGGGAGAAACTGGCGACCATCTAATAGGGCCTTCTCTGCCTATCCACCGATCAGCAAATATTCTATTTAAATGTGTTGTAAATCTTCTAAAAGACCTGGCAGTTGATTTTCTAAAAAATTCAAATAAGATTCTCCGTTAATAGTTCCCTTGAAAAAATACGGTCCGATCAAATAAGATCCTACAATCCCTGCCCAGACATTTAAGGATAGATGTTGGTGGTCTACTGGTCGTATAAAATGAGGATTGATAGTATCATAATAATGAAAGTTATGGCGGTTAACATAGCCATTTTTATGGAACGTCACCTCATCGCTGAATAAAAGATAATGAAAATAATTATATTTTCGTTGAACTTTTTCTAATGCTCATTGCGATAATTCTTGTCTTTTTTGGAAATCATGTACATCAAGTTCTTGTACTAACTGAATTAGTTTAGTTCATTAGTTATTTTGCGTGTAATAGTGTGCGGGTTTTGAACTACCTTTAACAAAACAGAAAGTTCGTTCTCTTCCCGAGTGAGTTCTTTTCGTAACCGACTTGTTTGGTTCTTTCAAACCTTTCTTGAAGTTTTTCAAATGCTTCAACCCTAGGAAATTGTTGCGCATTGTAGCATTTCGCTCTCCTGCACCCAAAGAATATACTATATCAATAAGTTCTTCTTGACTAAAATTCATTTTAATCAAACAACAGATTTTGGAAACACGTTATGAACAAACGCTAACAAATCAAAACTCAATTGTTTAACATTTCGAATTGCTACAAAATTTTTTTCATAGTCTACTACAATTATCTCTTTATAATTGTTTGAAAACCCCTTTTCCCCAAAATACCGAGGACTAGTGTTTTCAGCGTTTCAATGTTTGGTTATTTTTTGATTTTCTCCAAAATCTATATTGGTTTATTATCCATATTTTATATCCAAATTTACATAGTTTTTAATATTTTAATGATAAATTTCTCGTTTTTTCATATAAGAATATTTTTCTATAAACACTTTGTATAATACTTTTCTGGCTTTTCTGGTTTTTGAACAAAAAGTTGGGTATTTCTTACAATTTCACTCATTTTATTGTATATGTTACCGTCAATCTGTATAATTCAGGTGCTCTATACAATGCCTAGGTAATGTATAAAATACCTGGGGTGTCTAGGCAATGTATGAAATATTATGAAGATTATTGTCCCTTAGATACTTTACCTAGGTAATGTATACAATTCTTAGGGATTACATACAGTACCTGTTGGTCGACCGGCAATGTGTAAAATAAATAGATTTTGGTCTGTATTTATCAATTTTTACCCATAATAAACTTTTTTATAATCTATAAGTTATTGTACAAAATTAAGTAATAAGTATTAAAAACTTAGGAAACGAAATAATTCCGTAAAAACAAGACGTAGTTATACTGCCCTCTCAGAATTGAGTCAATAAAAAAATATATTTATTTATTCTTACATGAGGAACTATTGTGACATTTTGAAGTGCATAAAATCTTACTTTTGCGATATGAACACTTTTTAGTATCACAGTGTTTTTTGCAAGTACATTTAATAAATCCCTGACATGTCCCCGTAGATTGCAGATTCGCAACTGTATGGAGCGTCGTTTCTTGATTAGGGAGATCTTCTTTTTTCAGTAGTTCTTGACGACAAACTGTAAACTGTTGTCTTAAATACAAATTCTTTACAACACCTTGCTTTGTTCCTATTTTATAAAGTTCGTCATTCGTTTTTTGTAAGACTACAGCTAGTATATTGCGAGCATCACTACAACCTCTGTCGACTTCCGGAACAGGGATTTTTACAGTGGTACCCAATGGCATATGGGGAAATCTTTTTCTAGAAGTGTTAAGCATTTTCTGAGCTTGCTCTGTTAAATTATCATTGGAACTACAGCTAAAGCGTTTTTTAAGCGTAATGGGCAAACAACTTTAGAACCATAGTCTTCTGTCATATCTTTCTCCTTCCCTGTTCTCGCTTTTTACACACATTGCCGGCTTCGCATTCGGTATTTTATAGAATATCTAAGTAAAGTATAAAATTAATCATATTTCATATATTACCTAAACGTTTTAGGTATTCTATAAGTTGCCTAGGTATTGTATAGAATACCGCATTATACAGATTGCCGGTAACATATACATTTTACTTGTAACGTCTGTTAACGTAATTTTACATTTTAATGTGTTCATTTTGTTAAATTATAAATTATTTTATACAAAAATCCTTGTCTATGTAACACCATCTATATATTGTGATGTAATTTTTAAGAATGTTAGAAGTGCCAATTTTTCATGACGAGTAAGTTTACATTTTAATTAATTATAAGAACAATTTAATATTATTCGCCATTAACTTGTAGCGCTTCTAATGATTACTCAAAGTCGAAACATGTAAAGCAGATATTTTATACTTAATAAACCAGTAATAAAGTACAGAAACTACAATTATCATAATTTTCATTTTTAAACTGATTATAATATACTGGTAAATGGATTACTACAATCAAGTTTATGCCGATATTTTTAAAACAGTCTAATTATCTCAAGAACAGTCTAATTACACGTGTTAGATATACCATATGCTTAACAAAAATGAAAGGTAATTAATATGGCCTTCCGAAGCCATAGAGAAATGTTCCATTTAAAATAACAGAGTTATGGTTCTCCAAACATTGCATAAATAAATCGATTCTGATAAACACTGGACCTGTATAATAATATCCAATAGTATTAGCGGCGTTCGAACGACCCAAGCTTTGTTTATCGATATGCCAAGTTGCAATCTTGAATATTTAATAATAATGCTGATAACGAATTTTAAGTGATCACATGAATTTTCAAAAATTTTTACAAAATAATGAATAACTTGGCAACCTTGCATTCAAAATTTGAAAACAAGATATGCAATTGTAGAATTTAAGATAGCTAACCAGCATATGTAAAAAGATACCTAGGATTCCATTTAAAAAAGTTAAGTTGAGTATGGTCCTGGAATAGTGAAACATCCTCTATAGCTGAAAATAATTTTAATCGATGCAGCTTTCATGGTAGTATATGATGACTTGAGAAAATTTTTTTTTATTTTCAACAATAAAGCCACTGCCTTCCGTCCCCGCACTATTGACTCATCCTGTATATGATATTTTCAAATGTGCTGCTCATGAAAGCAAATATATCGTTTTAAAATAATTATTAGTATCTTACCTTAACAAAATTACCTCAAATTAAAAAGATATAAGTTCAATAATATAAGAAATTATTAGTTAGTTTAAAATTATGAAATATATTTAATTGATAATTCTCAAAAAAAAAGGAAGTAACAATGATTACTTTTCACAATCCACTTAATCGCATTTTAATTTCAAAACGAAAATATTTTTTTACTCCTTTCAGTGTGTAACCGTACAATTTAAAATAGATTCTAACTTTAAAACGTTGATTGAATAAATTGACTTAATTCTTATTGTATAAATCCCCCCTGTTTATTAAAGATCATTTTGTAGCCTATACATATAAGCTATTCTTTAATCCGGCCTTTTTTTTAATAAAGCATCTATAAATTAGAGACGTGTCTTCCAGTGAGTCATCATAATTTCCGCTAACATACGATCATCCAAGAGAAAACCCACCAAGTATGTCAAACAGATAATAATACTCACTTTAAAGACTGAGATCTCGGTAACGATTTTATTATTAAATAATTAATTACGTTATAAATCGCTGAACATTTCTACAGTTTCTGTGAATTCCAAATTTTTTGATTTGTTTCGAATTCGTCTCGCACAAATGACTGTGTTTAACTGTCAAAAAATGTCAAAAAATCTATTAATATATACGTATTCATGTCACTGTTATAAGATTATTTATTGATAAATATCATATAGAAAACTATTAATATCAAAAATGTTTGTACATTTGAAAGCATGTTAGTTTCTATTAGCGTTATCCTGTTAACATTATCGAATATCTGAAACGTGTTATTTTATATAAATGTTCTGTTTATTTATGTTGTATGTTATTTTAAGAATATTGCTTTATGTGTTTATTTCAAAAACTAGAAAAGCATCATATCCTGTTACATACTAAGATTTAAAGCAAATATATTTAAAAGTTTTACTTATTGTATATGCTTACTTGGTATTATTTTACGTTTTTTGCTAAATTCAATCTAGATCTAACAATAAGATATAAGAATATGATAATTCTTTTTTATTATACGTTGTTGGAGTAACTAAAATTTTTCCTATATAAGTTTAAAGTATACTACCTATACTACTGTATACTACTGTATACTACTGTATTAACCTATAAGTATAATAGGTGAAATTACAAATTTTCTGATTTTAGGACTTTAAATCATAAGAATTGATAGAAAACATTTTTGTCTTGATTTTCAAATTACTATTAATAATTATTTTACGCATTATCAAGAGATTTAATATACAATAGTATAGATATTATGGCAATTATGAGATTTAGCTTAATCCAAAATTCAATCAATCATGATTTTGTTTATAACACAATGTGTTATCTGGATATTGTACTTGATTTTTTTTATCTGTATAAAACCAGATGTGCGTGAGACTTTTGTTTATATTTTTCAGCGTGTTATAAAATTCCCACGAACAGTAGGCGTCCAATATGTTAAAGCCAAAATTTATTAAACATTCGATTTTGTTTAATATAAAAAGATGTGAATAAGGCGCCTTATTGTGTAATTTCATTTAGATCATAAACTTTAACTTAAATTACTTAATTGATTAGTAAGTATATTTTAGAAAAAATAATGTTTTAAAAGTTTTAAATGTTCTACTTACATCGACATTTGCATTGACACTCCGGGTTACCGCGGAACTCGGGTTTAATAAAGTGTTCTTTTTCCCACATGCTTTACGTATATCTCTACAAATACTATAGGATTGAAGTACTTGACAGGGTGTATTTATATAGTATACGCATGATTTTTTTAAATTACAAACATGAGTCGCTTATCTTTATCGGTAACACATCGAACCCATTAAATTGGTAAACAATTATTTTTATGATTCGAATTAGTTTAAATTTGTTAGAAGAAATTTGAATGACGAAATTACCCAGAATACTCAACATTTCCCGATTTGAAAATAGCTGTTTTTGATCTTATCTTGTGGTAATCTTATTTTAGTTAATATCATTGTTATAGCAAATTAATACTTACCGACAAATCTCAAATTGAAATAACGCTCATTTTTTTCAAGTTGGAGGTACGGATTTGGCAATTTCGGATATTCTAAAAAAATAAAAATAAAAATATAAATATTTAAAGAAATTTACATTGATTTTAATTTAAAATAAGTTGTGAATAACTAATTTATTACAGGACGTTATGAATACCGAGATTATTTAGCGTTTGTTGTCGTTTCGTTCAACTACTCGATAATAGATGTGAGCAATAACATGTTATTGTTATAATTATATTATTGTTATTACTACCTTTAAAATAATATTTATTTTTGTTGATAAAAGAACAAGGTATATCAATTAGTGATGAATGTGTTTTTAAAGGCTTTGTTTATCTATTTAGAAATGTAAACAGATTATGAAATAGTTAAAATGTTGTGTAGAGGTAAATCATCAATATCTAAAGTTCCTCGTTTGCACAATAACACCTTTCAATAGTTTAAACATAACTTTTATAAATAAGAAAATGTAGAGGTTCTTTATTAATGCAGCGAGGTTATTATAAATCCACAAATTAGCCATTAAAATATGATTTAAAAATTCTTCTAAAAAAAAACTGCATTTAATAGAAATTGAAAAACTCCACCACCAAATAATAGTACATAGTTCCTTTAGATCAGTTACGCTTTATGTTTTACCACTTCATACTCTTATTTAACCATCTAACTCAATTAAACTATATTATACATAATGCATATGAATCAAGCTGTCCAACAAAACACAAGAGAGCACAATTCAATGTGCCTTGGTGAAATATGGACCTTGAACAACAGCGAGTCCTGGTTTTTTTATATTATACCGGGTGTTTCATTTAAAATGACATGTGCTTATATCTCAAAAACAAAAACTCGAATCGAAAAAAGTTTCAAGTAAACATTTTTTGGTGAGAAAAAGGTGAGTTGTCTAAAGGCCCTTCTGACGTCATTTTTATTTTTCAAATGGTACATACTTTTTTCTTTCAAAGTCTTGAACAACTTGACACTTTGATTACTTTTTGCTTAAAAATTTTTTTCTTAAACTCTCCGTTGTGATATGATATATCAACAAAAATAAAATAACATGTTTCAAAATGTAATTAAAACAAATTAATTAATAAAAAAACGATTTAACTAATCGTAAAATAATATTAAAATTCTTCTTAACTTTTCAAATCGTCTTAGAAAATTGATTAAACATTTTTTTTTAATGTTTATAAATCTTAGTAAGTAAATCTTGTTCTAAACTTTGTTTGGATGTGCGCTAACTTGCACGTGGGATAAAAATTTCAAGCGAAAAAATCATTGTGATCAAAGCAAAAATGGAGCACTTCTCTACTCCACAGAAAATTCAGATGGTGTTAGCTTACGGTGAAAGTCGTGAAAATTTCGCTGAGGCCCATCGCATTTATGTTCGAAAATTTCCTGGAGAAAGAGCGCCTTGTCCTAAAACTTTATATCGAATAGTTACAAAA